AAACAGTTGGTAAAGCAACCTAGCCGGAAACTTACAAAGTAGGAGAGAGAACACATACTGACACACACATACAGATGAGATGAGAGTTGTATATACACCAAAGATATACATCAAGCAAGTGCTTTTTTAATTAATACATCCAGTGATATTCTTGCTAGCATGAGGAAGCTTCCCTCTGCCCTGACATTCCCACCCACTCCCTCAACAAGGATAAGAAAGAAATTCCTTTTCAGACCCAGCATTAGATAAACATAACCAAGTCTTTACATGTGGCTTTGGAGAAGGCTGCTAGGATGCTCGCAAACACGACGTCAGGGGTCTGGGATGCATTGATGGCAGAATGAATCCCCCGTTTTCTGTAGTACTCCACTAGTGGGGTGGTCTGAGTGTGGTAGGCCTCCAGGCGGATTTTCAGGGCCTTCTCATTATCATCTGATCGACGGATCAAGGGTTCCCCAGTGATCTAAGAACAGCAAGAGGACAATGAAACGCCAGACCTATTACCAAGGTTTCCTTATCCCATATCAGATGCATATTTGAGATGGGAATATTCTGTATAGGATGCTATCTCATCCCAAAGCCTATTAGGGGCAAAGACAGGCAATCCAGACCCTCTCTAATAACTTTGCTAACCCTAGGAGCAGACCAGCTGGTCCAGAGAAGTAAGGGAGCCGGTCAGAAACAGCAGCAGTGAGAAAGAGGTCTCATGGAGGTAGACAGGTAATGCTTTTTCTCACAGCTTTGTGCTCAGGCTATTCAACTTCCAAGATGAATGATTCTAGGGTCAAAAGCAAGGAAGACAGAGGTCCCTGAGATTAGGAGGACACATCAAAATTAGAGATATAAATTTAGTAATTATAATCTTAGTTGTCTAAATATTTAGTGTATTTAGTAGAGTGTCACCAATCAACATTCTAAAAGTGGCAAGTGAAGTGAGAAAGAACTCTGGTAGAACTACCAACTTTGCAAAATGTGATTAAGTTGATATAACGGCTCTGAAAACTGTATTTATAGAAGCTGGATGACCTGATGACCCTGTCACATGACAAGGTAAACCTAGGAAATTCTTACTGTTACCTCACATACTCTACATCAGACCATATGGACTCCTTTTGGCACAGTGACCATGTATGAGACTCCAGGACATAGCAGAGCAGTTAATGTGGAGAGGACATTTTTCTGGAGGACTGATCAGCAAATTTCTCTTCGGTATCACATTCCTCCTACACCTTACTAGTTGACCCCTTAACACAAAGGGGCTGTTCCTAACATAAGCCAGGTATAGGGGCGGCGCCTGTGGCTCAGTGAGTAGGGTGCTGGCCCCATATACCGAGGGGCAGGTATCGAACCTGGCCCAGCCAAACTGCAACAACAAGAAAAAACAGCTGGGCATTGTGGCGGGTGCCTGTAATCACAGCAACTTGGGAGGTTGAGGCAAGAGAATCCCTTAAGCCCAAGAGCTAGAGGTTGCTGTGAGCTGTGATGCCACAGCACTCTACTGAGGGCAACAAAATGAGACTATATCTCTAAAAAAAAAAAAAAAGACAGGTACAACCTGGACACTGGGCAATAGCTGGCATAAGTAACTACCTTGAAGTCAAGCGTCAAGCAATAAACTACCCAAGGAGACACTGAACAGGTCTGCCACAGGCTATCTGACTGACTCCATAGTGGTATATTTCATAGTTTAACAATACTGATAATAAATGAGAAAATAGTGAAGAAAGAAAAAGGAAGGAAAGAAAAGGAAATTTCTTGTCTTGAGTTTACATACATCATCTTTCATGGGCTCCCTAGGGGGGTTGAACTCCTCGTGGTAAGAACGGCCACTCTTGGGGTGAATCAGCCTGAAAGACAGCAAACGAACATGAGTCAGGTTGACTGAAAGTATCTCCATGTACCCCAGGGATTTCTAGGATGACAAGCAAAGATACGCAAGCTCAATATAAGGACCCAGTACCCAGCAGAGAATACAACTATAAGCTGCTCTTGCTTAGGAAAATAACTGGGCTTCTAAGAGAGCTTACGCTAGTGGCAGAGCGAGTATGTTTCCTATTTTGACCAAATATTATAATGAGTATCCGGTGGAAGACGCAAATTGCTGGCATAATTACCTAATTCAGGACTTGAGAGAAAGAACTCTGGTGCTGGTCTGACACAGCCATTCATTTTTCACCCGTTCATTCAACAAGCATTAAAAAGTGCCTAGTCTGATTCAGTCTATCAGCTGAATCCGGGGGTTACAAAGCAATGAGTCAATATCTCTACTCAAAAGCAGTGCTTAGTGGGGGAGACAAATATGGAAATAAATAACTATAACAAATATGATAATCTGGTAGCTGCTCCCAGAGATCTGTACAAAATGCTATGAGGCATAGAAGATAGAGGAGTGAACCCTATTTTCTAACCTAGTTTGGTTATAAAACCAGAAAGGCACTAACAGGAAAAATATGCCCAGGGATGCAACAAGACAATGTAGTATACCTTTTTTAAATTTTTATTTTTGAGACAGAATCTTACTTTGTTGCCCTTGGTAGAGTGCTATGGCATCACAGCTCACAGCAACCTCAAACTCTTGGGCTTAAGCAATTCTCCTGCCTCAGCCTCCCAAGTAGCTGGGACTACAGGTGTCTGCCACAATGCCCAGCTATTTTTTGTGTAGTTGTCATCGTTGTTTGGCAGGCCTGTGCTGGGTTCGAACCTGCCAGCTCTGGTGTATGTGGCCGGTACCCTAGCTGCTGAGCTACAGGTGCTGAGCCATAGTATACCTTTTTGATCACACAAATAAAGGACACCCAAACCGTTATGAAGCTATATTCAAGTCACCAGGAAAAAAAAATGACATATTAAACAAGTCATGGAACAGAGAGACCAAGGACAGGTATTTACTTGTCACTAAACATTTAGCTGGTAGCTATGTCTGTGCTGACTCCGCACAGGCAACAGCCCATGTTCCTGACTGGGAATGACCACACCACAGGAGCCATGAAACCTAAAAGGGGAAGGGGACAGGCCAAACTCTGCTCAGCAACCAGGGCTTGCTTGAGTCCTATATTTCCCAATTCTCTGCTCTCCTCATGAAGGTCTGTTGGACCAGAGCTTCCTAACTTTTGCATGTACAGAAATAGTGCTTGCACACACCTGGGGGAGCTATGGTTACTCCAGGCCTGCCAGTTGCTCTGATAGCTGAGGGGATCATTATTTTGGCACATCAGTTGGGAAATCCTGTTTAATTCTATTTAGACTATTAAACCCACACCTTAGTAAAATGTGATACTGCATTTTAATCAGAGCATATTTTGAGAGGAACAAGATAGTCCATTTATGGCATAAGGTGGCAGAGGGAGGGGTGATGTAATGGCAGAGAAAATAAGTTATACTGTCGTCCCTTGGTATTCGTGAGGAATTAGTTCCAGGACACCTCCCCATAGATACCAAAACCCAAGGATGCTCTCAAATCACTTATAAAAAATAGCATAGTTGTTTGCATACAGCCTATCTATATCTTTCTATATACTTTAAATTATCTCTGGATTATTTGTAATACCCAATGCAATGTAAATGCTATGTAAAGACTGCTATACTAGATTTTAAAATTTGTATTATTTTCTATTATTATAGGGTTATTTTTTTATTGGTTCTTTTGTTTCAAATATTTTCCATCCATGGTTGAATCAGATACAGAGGTTTGACTATGCTGAGAAGTGAGTGGGCCAATGACTGCGATTATGTACTCTGAGATTGGACCCTCCATTATTTGAGTCCCTGGAAAGGTTCTTAAGGTGATGCACCCACTGGAAGATGCATGAAGAGCATAGGCTGCTGGGTTCAGCTGCAGTGCCTTTAGAAGGGATGGGGGCATGTGATGTGGTATTTCTTCACCTTCTGGACAGCATAAGGAGACAGCAGCCAGGCTACGACAAACATGACTCTCCCTTCCATGTCTTTATGCTGTCTCTCACAAACTCCCAGAATCCCTCAGCCTCCAGTTACATATGATGCACTGCTCCTTCTCTGTTCACATCATCCTCTTCATCCTCTTAAAGAGGATTGCCAAGGCTCATTCCCTAGAAGGTGAATGATAGAGAAAAGCCCAATCTCCAAGTTCTCAAACAGATTGGTCTATCAGGTACCAAGCAAAATAGCTTCATGAGCCACTGAGCCTGGCCTGGAGGTATGATAAGGGCTGGGATTCTACAGTTAATGCTGCCTTGAGTGTGACACTTTAGACACCTGTTTACTCATCCACAAAATGGAGATGGTACTAAACATTAAGATAGTGATACCCGAGAGCCAACTGGTAAGATAATTAGGATACCAGAGAGCCAATGCTGAATAGATTGAAAACAAAAACTACCATGGGGGTGGGACACAAATATGAGGGTCCTTATCTAACAAAAGCAATCAATGTAACCTAGTTCTGTGTACCCTGAATCCCCAACAATAAAAAAAACAAACCCACCAATCATACATATTCAAAAAACAAAACAATGACTCAAAATTATTAGAAGTGAGGTTCAAGTTAAGTTAATTCAGACTACTACAGTCGGGTCTTTATCATCTCAGATTTGAAACAAGATCCATATTAAACCAATTAGTTTCTGCCACATTTTCTCCCAACCACCAGCACGTTGGACCAAGAGGCAGAATGCAGACCCCACCACTCATATGCTGGGTGAATTTGGAAGAACACCTTCACTAGTGCTCTGTAAAGGAGGGAGTCACACTAAAACACTCCCTTCCAAACAGAGGGACTAACACTTCTTTAACCTTCTACAGCAATTCTGCAGTTTGTTCTTCAGGGTCTCTCTGTTCTCCACCACCCAGTCATAGTCAGGGGCCTCCATCACCTCATGTGGATCACAATCAGGCTCTCAGATAGGGTCCTTATCTGTTTCCCCTCTCCCCCAATTTAGCTTGTAGACCAGACCAAGCTAATGTTCTTAGAATGGTGTTTTTACCACAATACTTAGTGGCTAAAGAAGATCTCATGACTCCTGAACTTGTTATTAAGTCTACCATCCTCAGTTTGGCAGATCTCTCCAGTCAAGCTCCCATCCTATCTTCCCAAGAACACTCATTCTACAATATCCACTCAGATATGTCTGCTACTAGCCCCAGCTACAGCCCCTCCCCCAACCCATACTTCTGTTTTCATTCCCTTCTGGAAAAATCTCATTAAAATACTCCTCTAGGAAGGTGATGTTTGATGTTATACCTCCTCTAGGCAGCCTTCCTTCCCTGTCCCCAGGCTCTCCTCTTGGACGTCCTACTGCACTGAACAGCCCAGAACAGCCTAGGTTTCCTGTTCTCTGAGATCAGAGATAGGCATCACTACATTGTTCTTCTAGAGCCTCTTCTATTCCTCCACCCTCAGGGTCTAACACTGTGCTATGCAGGAAAAGGTACTCAGGAAACCGGCCCATTAAATACACCCCCCCTTTGTTAATATTGGCTTTGTGCTTTAGGGCCCTAGGCCTTTACTGTCAACTCTACCACTTCTTGGCCTACATCAACTTTGTCTACTCTGTGCCCAATGGGGATGCAAATAAACAAAGTCCTTGTATCCAAGGAACCTAGGGATACTACAAAACTAGACATTTGCAAAGGAAATTATTGTAAGGTAAATCCCACTGTATTCCATATAGCTTTCCAGGATACTTCTAACTGCTGTCTATTCACACATCTGTCTCTCTCTTTGGAGGTATCAACTATAGACACGTGGAAAAGATGTTCAAACTCATTAGGAAATTAAAGTAATAAAGTCTAAAATAAGAAAATATTTTCCTTCTAATTAAATAAAAAATATTACATGCACTACAATAGTCACAGCATCAACTTAACAGCGGAAGAAACACAAATGTACAAGAATAAGGGAATAATTAAGTAAATGATGGTTTACCTACTGTCAAATATCATGCGGCAATTAAAAATAATGATCATGGATGTCTGGTTCAAGATGGTGGGCTGACCACCTTCCTGAGACTCCATTAAAATGACAAAGACATAAAAAAGCTACAGCCCACGATAAAGAAGAGAATGGAGGGTCCATTAGAGGATGAGAGCTTCCAACATATTTCTGGAAGGCACAAAGCAGATGGCAAAGTGATTAGTGAAATAGGGTAGAGAAAACTGTCGCCTAAAGCAGTGTTGGTCTTTTGGAACAAACATGTTCAGAAGTAGAAGCATTTCTGTGTTCAACACTGAGAAATAAACATGTTAAAACAAAACATACACAAAAATATAAGGTGGCTGTACTATGAACAATTTTTTCCCCCATTTACTAAATTTTTTGTGGATGGTATAGCAATTCCAACTGAAATCAGATTTAAAAAGCACTGAAATAGAGACACACACATAAGGAATTTAACATTTCTCAAGCACCTCCTGCAATCAAGGCTCTCAACTGTGCACTTTGCATTTTCTAATGGTTACAACAGGTCCTTGAAGCAGGAATGATTAACCCCCTTCTACAAATGAATAATTCTTAGGGTAAAAAAAACACTTAAGGTCAGAGTTAAAAGGTGACAGGAGAGGCCTGGCACAGTGGCTCATGCCTGTAATCCTAGTACTCTGGGATGCTGAGGTGGGTGGATGGCCCTGAGTTCAAGACCAGCCTGAGCAAGAACAAGACCTGGTCTCTAAAAATAGCCAGACATTGTGGTGGGCACCTATAGTCCCAGCTACTGGGAGGCTGAGGCAAGAGAACTGCTTAAGCCCAAGAGTTGGAGATTGCTGTGAGCTATGACACTATAGCACTCTATTGAGGATGACAAAGTGAGACTGTCTCAAAAAATAAAAAATAAAATAAAAGGTGACAGGACTGAGATGTAATCTGACTCCAAATCCCTTGCTTTTCTTACCATATTGACACCCCATGTCATCTCTTGAATGGATGTCACCAAATAAGACCAATCTGGCATTAAGCTTCACGGCTGGGATTAGGCAAAAGCAGTTCTCAGAGTCTGACAAAGCTCTGAGGAAGCATGAAAAGAAGGACCTTCAGGGGACCAATACCTTCCTGTGATTCTCCGGATCAGAAGAGAGTCTGGGATGCTGAATTCAATCACAGAATCAAGTTTCTCTTTCCTCTTCTCCATGAGGTCATCGAGCTGTAAGAGAGTGTATGGCTCACCTAAGCTACCAGAGCTTGGTCAGACCCATCCCTTTTAAAGGAATTAAGAGGTAAATGGTCAGTGTTAGCTTTCATACAACAGTGATACAAAACCTAAGCCACTTACCATTTCTGCCTGCCTTACAGTCCGAGGGAAGCCATCTAGAAGAAAACCATTTCTGCATGAAGGAGTCTCCAAATTCTTCTCAATGAGCTCTACTACCATTTCATCGCTTACCTGGAAGGTAAAAACAAAAAGCTTTGGGTATAAATTCACTAACTAGGCAATATTAGGCCAACTCCAGAGTCAAAAGTTTGTGTGTGTATAATCTGATTACTCAACAGCAAGTCTTGACCCAAATACACAAAAATCAGAGCAAATGTGGAGTGGCTCCATTTGGAAGATCCAATTTCACTATTAGTTCTGTGACTGCATTACACATGTTTTCTTCCCTTGAAATTCTCCTGCGTCGGCTCGGTGCCTATAGCTGAACCGGCTAAGGCACCAGCCACGTACACCTAAGGTGGCGGGTTCGAATCCCCAGCCCGGACCCGCCAAACAACAATGACGTCTGCAACCAAAAAATAGCCGGGCGTTGTGGCAGGCGCCTGTGGTCCCAGCTACTTGGGAGGCGGAGGCAGGAGACTCGCTTGAGCCCAGGAGTTGGAGGTTGCTGTGAGCGTGATGCCATGGCACTCTACCCAGGGGGGATAGCTTGAGGCTCCGTCTCAAAAAAAAAAAAAAAAGAAATTCTCCTGCGTCTGCAAAATCCCCTGCTTGTCATCCCACCAAGATAGCTCTTTGTTGTAGGTCCTGAAGACCTCTCCTCACACTAGAGTCAGAGTCCCAGCCATCAGATAACAGCTTATTAGGATTCAACTATTCAGTAGGCACAAGAAAAGTGAGGACACTTGGCTGAAAGTTCACCTGAAGGGAGCTCCAGGGGAGAATGGGGGTTGGCCAGAGAGCAGAAAGGTAGCAGCCAGCCTTCTCTGTTTCACAATTTTGATTAGGCCACAGTAACATGACTAAGGTATGTGCTTGTTCACACATCTGGGCCATCCTGGAAATGAAGCAACAGAGTTCACTGAATTGGCAAGAGTGGGTCAGAAGCGAGAACTGAAGATCCAACCCAACACACCTATGATCTTCTCTGAAACCCCAATAAGGATCCCTTCCCAACTTTCAAAAACTGGTTTTTTACCATGCCTTTATGGAAAGAAAATCTTCCAGTTTGTATTATAGTGAAGGCTGCCCATCTTGGCAGCTAATGCTTATTTCTCAGCAATAGCTATGAACTTGGAGACAAAGTACAAGTTCTGCAACTAAATGAAGGCAGGAGATAAGCAATCTCATTGCCACATCCCAATTTTTCCTTAGTACACAGTACACTGCCAAGACCCAAAGTCCAAAATATCTAGCTTTCTGACTTGACCCAAAGCCTCACTGTTAGGAAGGTAAAACGAGAAAGAAATGGGTGGGTGGCAGGCAGCAAGGGTACCACTTGAGATAGCTATAGAATCTCAAGCCTAACAAAAGGTAACTTGAGAATTGAAGCGAAGCCCAGCATCTTCCCTAACCAACATTCTAAAATACAAAAAGACCAGAAGACCAAACACAAAATGGCTTCTGAAGGTGATCCCCAGAGGTCAAGTTCCAGAATAACTCAGTTATAATTAAGCTCTGACACTAATCAACGAAGATTTGGTAGATAATAGATTATATTTGTCTAATCAGATCAAACTGGTCTTAAAGAGAAAATGTATTATGTCCCCCAAGTAGGAAGGATTACCTTTGTCACAATTGCCAAGGAACTTCCTTATTAGAAATACAGGACACAGAGCCACAAAAGTAGGTTAAAAAACACTTCTGTGACTTCCTGAGTCCTCTCTGGAATACATCCCTGAGTTCTAGCCCAGGAATGATAATTTCATTTTTGGCTCTAAAATTTGGGTATATTACAAAACACATCAGCACAAAAAACCCTTGAGAATACTGTAGGTTAAGTGCCATAAATTCAGAACAAACCAAATAACTTGCTACTCTAAAAGTTCCTATAATCTGCCAGCTTGTTAAAACACTCTCTAGCACAGGGCTGGTCCAAAAGAACTTTCTTTGATGATGGAAATGTTCTATATCTGTGTTGGATGACTGAAATGTGGCAAATGCAACTGAGGAACTAATATTTAAATTACATTTAACTTAATCTAAATAACCCGGTGGCTACCATGCCAGACAGTGCAGATCCAGACTCCGAGGAATAGTCTGGTGGCACTCACTGGTACCTCCAAACTTACCAGTTTCCCAGCATCCATAGTTGCCTTTAGCTTTTTTCCCAGCTCTGAGCCAGAAGCCACCATGGCCCTCAGCATATCCCCAGTGGCCAAATGGCAGACACAGAATTTTTCAGCCAATTTGGGTGCCTGTGGAAAGGAAGACAAAAACCAAGACACAGTTAACACTGCAGGCCCTGGGGTCAGATTGTCTGGATGTAAACCTGGTCCTGCCATTTATTGGCTGTGTAAACTTAAACAAATGTCTACTTCCTCACCCATAACAGGGATAAAAGTACCTTATGTTAAAACATTATAGGATCAGAGTAAGGATTACATGATAATACATGCAAAATACTTAAAACAGAGCACCTAGCAAATCGAAGCCATCATAGATGTTAGCTATTACTGCTACCACACTAGTGACACATAAGCCTCAGTTTCCCTGTTATAAATGGGAAGAATAAAAATAACAGTGTCAACACTTCATATAGTTGCTGTGAAGTTTAAATGAGATCATGTATATAAACCTCTCAGCACAACACATGGCCCATAACATGTGCCCAATAAATATCCCCCACAGAAAAGAATGTGTTCCCGTCATGTACTACCGCCACTGGGGTGGGAGGCAGCTGGGAGCAGACTGAAGAAAATAGGTTTGCCCCCAGGCAAAAGTGGGTTCTTCCCTTTCCCTGTCACTAGGTAGCTGCTTTGTCTTGAATATATAATTTAACTTCTCAAAGGCTTAGTTTCCTATCTGTTTAAGATGAAAAAGGCAAAAAAGTCCAACTTGAAAGGCAGCTGTAAGGATTAGATGAGGTATATTATGAAGAGCTCTTGGCAAATAACAAGCACTTACATATGTGTTTTAGTTTTAGGGACCTTTCAGTTAAGAGCCTGGGTTTCAGAGTCAAATTGCTTGGATTTCAAACTCCAGGTCCACCAATCACTACATTTGTGACTTGAAAAGTCACTTTACTTTTCTAAGTTTCAAATTTTCTCTAAGTAAAATGGAGATGGTAATAGTACCTATATCACTGAGTTGATGACAAGATTATACAGAATTCAGATATATGCAGGCCCTAGCTCATGGGTAAGTGCTCATGAGCATTAACTGCTACCATGTATTCATTCTATATTCATTCATTCTATGTATTCTATATTCATTTACACAGAAATAAAACATTTATTGATGCCTCTTCCAAAAACCCTGTTGGAAGCCAGGGAAACAGATGAATAAGAAGGAGACAGAGACCCTATCCTCAAAGAGCTCAAAGTCTGATAAACTACAAATCAGAATGCAGAATTAGAACAGGAAGAGACCCAGGACAGTTCAACATCAGTTTTGTGGTGGCAAAAAAGAATGCGGAAATCACAGTATGAGAAGCTCAATCTTAGCTTTCTGGTTCAACTGTTTTATAAAATAAGTAGGTTTGGATCCCTGTTCAAAGTTTTCTTAAGGGCACTCTTAGGTATACAGAATAAAAGTTAAATAGATGGGGCTCAATGCAGAAAATTCTGGTTTATAATTCATGGGCTGATTCAGTTCAAGCAAAGAGATGCTTTCAGAGCAAAATGGGACCCAGATGAGAAGTCATTAAAAACTGTGCACTTTGGAAAATGAATGAAGGTCAGGATTAGGACCCTGGCAATGGAAAACCAGGCTGGCACTGTGGCAATATACTCAGAGACATCACTTTCTGAGTCTTTCTCCTTGGTTGTTAAAATTAACCTGGGTGAACAATTTAGAGGTCAGGCTTGCTCAAGTGGAAAGGCTGACCAAAATACCACACAGAACTGTTAGTACAGAGTCTTCTCTATTTTTATCACTCCCAAAACTGCAGGACTCTTGTGCACTGTTCCAGGTGATTGAATTCTACAGCCATATGGAAGAATACACACCAAGAGGGAAGGAAACAAATTCTTTCATTTTCTCCTGGATACATGGAAATCCCTGCAGTAAGCTACAAAAAGGATGTGTTGGTTTTGGAGTCAGAACGATTTATACTTGATTCCTGGCTAAGGCATTCAAATAGCTGTGTGATTTTGGGCTAGTTACTTAACTGCTCCGAGTGTCAGTTTCCTTACCCACTGAATGGGGTAATGACCAATAGGGCTCTTATAAGGATAAATTAAATAAAGTACCAAAAGGTTCAGACATAAAATAGATATTCAATAAATAAAAAGCCTCTGTTCATGGCCTTTCTTCTTTACATCACTCTTTATTTACAGACTTCAAAGTATAATGAAATAACTTTATGATAGTCTCCTCACACTTCGGACTTAAGCTTTGGAACACCACTTCTCAGGCTCTAAAATCACTTGGAGAGTGCTGTTAAAAATCCAGATTCTGGGCTCGGCGCCTATAGCTCAACCGGCTAAGGCGCCAGCCACGTACACCTAAGGTGGCGGGTTC